GGAAAGGTGTCGTATATGCTGCCGAAAACGATCCTCTGGATCTCGAGGAAGTCAGACCATGACCGCAAACTTTGAGGACACCATTTGTCTCGAGGGTTGGTGATGGAGCCCTTCGAGGTGAGATTTGGGTCTGTTTCGATGACAAACCGAGAATACACAAGGGAATGGCAAGCCGCAATATACTCGTCCAATGTCGTCGGTCTTGTTTGTTCCTCTGCTATATCGGCGCGTTGTCGCTGTTCCTCGGCGCGTTGTCGCTCCCTCTGCTGCCCGCGTTCTGCTTCCTCGGCGCGTTGACGCTCTTCCTCGGCGCGTTGTCGCTCTTCCTCGGCGCGTTGTCGCTCCTTCTGTTCTCCTTTCTCTGCTTGCTCAACACGCTTCTCTGCCTCTTTCAGAAGCTTTTTTAATTGCTCAGCATCCATCTGGAAGATTATTGGATGTCGAATAGTGTATTAATACTTGGTCGAAGAGAAGTTCGGATAGAAAGTGGGCAGATTGGTTGGACTGCACGCCAGTGCTCCACTCGTAGCCGTGGCTTAACCGTTCCATTCTATTGAACCAACACACCTAACCAGTTAGCGGGGAAATTTGTATGTACAAGATATGGTCTGTCATCATGGATGCTACGCCGCCGGGTTCCTTGACACTGCCTCACTTTCAAAGTCATATTACTATTTGAGTCTCCATTTTTATGTATATATTGTATCGTGTCTGAAGGCAGAACATCAGGGCAACGATCGCGTTCTACCACAACTCGGCAATATGGTGTGTCGTCCGCCACTATCATTGGCCGAGTCACGAGGCCCGTCTGACAAGGTAAAGTATGCCGGGCCAAGCACGGGGGTCCGACCACGTTGCCATTCAGTGACCGCCTTTTTAGATTCACCTAGACTTGGTCTCATGGATGTGGTAGCTGCGCGTTGATCCTCCCGGGCAGCCCCGTTCGAATCAACAGAAAGGTAAGAATAGCTTCCGTCAGCGGATAGCTATTGTGCTATAATCATAGCTTCCTTGTGCTTCCAAGACCTGGCTAGAATTCTCTCAAAAGAAGAGGGGGAAAAACCTATGCTACAGGACCTATAGCTCGGGAAAACCCTCAACAGCCAGAAAAAGTCCACAGAAAGTGTCAAATGCCTTTCCAGTCCTTGAACAAGAACTCCCAAAGGACTTATGTGTCGCGACTCACGGCTCAAGAGGAATATGAACTCTTCAAAGTTGTCCTGTTTGTGGTTGCTAAGACTGCGTAAAGAATAACCGATTACAAGGATCCAGCAACTTGGTCAGAGTCAGATGCCCAAAGATTCACCGGCAGCTTCGCCCCCACAGGACCCTGATGAATCCTTTGATTGTGACGAGTCTCCGGCAAAGAGCAGCTATACACTGCGACCGCGGGCATGCAAGGATGCTGCGATATTTCCCAAGCGCCGGGAGGATGACGAGCACGGTGGGACTGAGGGCTCTAGATCACGTACCACAGCAAGAGCCAGCAATCGAAATAAAGATTCCGTCGGTCAGGGCAAAAGCGACGGCCGCATTGTGTCTGACTACGATTGGGCTGATGAACTCTCCCCTGTAAACAATTTTCCCCATTTGGTGCTGTTAGCACCTGTTAGTGGGGCGACGCGTTTACAGGTGACATTGCCACACCTTTACTATGGACCACTATCGCGACCCTAACAGCACGATGGAAGAACTTTGGAGAGTTCATATTCCATTGCAGAGCTGATTCCGGCGACAATTCACGCGGAAAATCCTCGAGAACCTTTAAAGAGACTGCTTGGTCGTCTTTGCGCCTCTGGGAACGAGCCGCGGCGACATTACAGGAACCCGCCGTTCGACGACGCGTCAACATGCCAATGTCCGACTGTGCGAACCTCACGAAACACAAAATATTACAGCCACAGTACGTGGGAGGGGATGTCGACCCTGATCGCGTACGCCATTCTATGGGAAATGAGCTTGGCAACTGGTTTTCTTGCCCGACAAGAGTTTACGGCATCGTACGGTCGTGAAAGACGCGATGGAGACGCGTAATCGGAGCGACGGGTACGAACGCCGCCAACACCAACACAGAATACGTTTCCAAGAACAGCATTATTCTCCGTCAATGACGCGTCAAAGCCGTCGAAAATCAACTATCTGGACCTCACGAGACACCACATATTACAGCCACAGTACTGTTAGGGGAGTGATGACCCTGCTCCAGTATGCCCCACGATGGAGAATGGATCTGGTTGCTCCATTCGTCCTGCCGACAATCGTCTACGGTGTCAGAGGTTGACAAGTACACGACGGAGACGTGAAATGGAACGGGCAATCTTGCCTAAATTTTGTTTCTATTTTCTTTTTCTCTTCTCTTTTCTTTTTGTTCTCTTTCTTTTGCTTTCTTCTCGTTTACAAACACCACCAACAGCTCAGTTTTCCTGTTCAAGGCACCTTACATACTGCAACTAGCACAGCTGGCCTACATCCTAGCACACCATTTATGCAAAGGCCGCATTTGCGACGCGTCCAGCTGCTGATGTTGTCTAGGTTGCCGTGAGCAAGCACAGCCCCGAGAAATATCAACGAGCATGCCCCTTACACTTCAAGTACTTCCATACAAGAACATCTGCACTTCATGCAGCGCACACAACCAAAAGACTACCTCAAGGCAACCATGCGCTCGGCAGCCCAGAGGTAGTAGTACAAACAACAAAGCAACATCAGGACGGGCTCTCTGGGTGTACCCAGTCGGCCTTGTCTACAGTACTCATAAAACACGGCGCAGACGAGTGGTTTTGGTTATACAGAAGCTCAGGAGGGCCGGGAAGGGCCTGACAAGTCAGAGACACAGAACATACAGAATAGCTATTGGTAGAGGGCAACTATAGATCCCGTCGATTGACAGGGAAAAGTCTCTTTTACAGGAACCGCCTGGCAAGCTTAGCTTCCTGTAAGAGAGACAAACCCCCCGGAACTTGGGAGCACCTGTATTGATAGCCGTACGCTGCATAGCTGCCACGAGGCGGCTGGGACAGTCTATGAATAAAACAAACAAACAAACAAACAAACGATTGGGCTGATGCTGGCTCAGGCTCAGCCAACGTTCGGCGGAGCAGGCATTGTTACTTTTGCAAGAGCAGATATACAATGCATGGAGGGGAAGACGGGTTGTCAGCCTGATAAGCTTTGACGTGAAAGGAGCGTATAACGGCGTGTGTAAAGAACGATTATTGCAAAGGATGAGAGCCAGAGGAATACCCGAAAAGCTAGTGCGATGGATTGGGTCATTCTGTTCCAACCGTACAGCCTCTATTTTGGTCAACGGACACTTGTCTGAAACCCAAACATTACATCAAGCAGGGTTGCCTCAAGGGTCGCCGCTTTCACCGATTTGCTACATTTTCTTCAATGCCGACCTGGTACAGAGACGCATTGATGCCAATGGCGGAGCCATAGCTTTCGTAGACGACTTCACGGCCTGGGTCACTGGCCCGACGGCACACAGCAACCGAGACAAGATCAAGGCCATTGTGGAAGAGGCGCTGGACTGGGAAAAGAGAAGCGGCGCGACGTTTGAAACAGACAAAACGGCTATTATCCACTTTACCCGCAACGCACGAAAAGCCGACGCAGCCCCAGTTATGATCCGGGGGCAGGCAGTAATGCCAAAAAATCACGTCAAGATTCTGGGCGTCATCATGGACTCACGCCTTAAGTACAAGCAGCACATCGCACGAGCATCGACAAAAGGGCTTGAAGCAGCCATGGAACTGAAACGACTGAGAGGACTTTCTTCTGCGACAGCGAGACAACTATTTACATCCACGGTGGTTCCGCTGGTCGACTACGCGTCAAGTGTGTGGATGCACGCATATCAGGACGAATTAGTTGGGCCCATCAACCGGGTTCAGAAAGCGGGCGCACAAGCGATTGTCGGGACATTCCTCACGGTCGCGACTGCAGTGGCAGAAGCGGAGGCCAGTCTAGTGAGCGCTGGAGAGAGACTTTGGAAGAGGGTGATTAAACTGTGGTTGGTGATACACTCGTTGCCCGACACCAACCCGTTGCGCCGAGTAACGGAGCGCATGAAGAAATTGTACCCCGCGTTCTGATCGCCTCTGTACCAAGTAACGCGCAAGTTGCGAGGTGTGCCGGCGGAGGAGCTGGAATCTATTCAACCGTTTACAATCGAGCCATGGAGAGAGCGGATCGGAGCCGTGTCAAATGGTACAGTGGAAGGTGGTCCTTTGGCAGCAGAAGCCATTGTGGCCACGAGCAGCTCCGCGCGTAACGGGGTAGTTGGGGTGGGCGGAGTGATTCAATGTTCAAGTACGACACAATGCAATGTGCAACGAGAGACCTTCTCATTTACGCTCGGGCCAAGAGCAGAGCAGAGCCCATATTCAGGAGCGTTGGCGGCCATGGCGTATGTGCTGCGGCATGTACCGAGTGGTTGCAAGCGCGTATCGATCCTGACAAGAAACAAAGCTGCGGTGCAATCTTTGAAGAATCCACACCAGCAGTCGGGACAAGAATTTATCCGTTGCATATACGACTCGATACAGGATCAACAAGAAAATGGAGTTTCCATTTCGATTACCTGGAAGCCGACAGAGAGCGACGATGAGCTCCTTAATGTGGCGAAGAGAAAAGCGAAGGATGCTACTCGAGAAGGAGCGCGACCTGAACAACGATTCCCAAAGATGCTCTCCACCACCTTCAATATCGAGAAGAGAAAGCTCAGGGCAGAAAGGCATATCCCAGAGAACGTAGGGAAATACTCGAAAAGCATTGACACAGCCTTGCCAGGCGAATACACGAGAGCACTGTACGAAGACCTACCATGGAATGAACGGACTGTTCTGGCTCAGCTCAGGACCTACATGATCAGGCTGAATGGATACCTCCACCAGATAAGGGCGGTACCGTCAAGCCAATGTGCTTGCGAACTCGAACGCGAAACAATTAAACACTTCCTCTTCCGTTGTCCGAAATGGGAGGCACATCGAAAGGAGATGACAGAATGCACCGATACACAGCGAGGCAACATTTCGTTCTACGTCGGCGGGAAGTCTCCGTCCGATGGAACAAAATGGAAACCCAACATGACAGCAGTCAGGGCTACGATCCGATTTGCGTTGGCCACTGGCCGATTGAGCAACGACTAAGGACACCCGCACTATGTTTAGCTCTGTAGCAAAACCACATGCAACAATCGTGTCGCTGATAACAGGCGCCGCTTCAGCCGCTGTAGATAGGACGCTGAACACTTGGGGAAACGCCTCCAAGCCTGCCAGTTAATACAAGCACCGCACGAGAATCCGTGCTACCAGGGAAGAAACAAGAATGGAGACAGATATGGGAGGATGATCGCTTATGGGCTTGCAGGAGGCAAAGACTAATTTTGGACGTGTACAAGTAACTTAGCTAGTGAGCCCTATTGGCTGCATAGTCACCGGGCGTAATAAACTTATTGGTATTGTACCGTCGAGGAACATACAAGGATTTCGAAGACTGCATGGCGCGCCGAGGTCAGTTGACCCCAGAAGAGAGACTTCAAGAAGATGGGCAAAAGATGGCTATGGCTCTAAAAAAGAGGCTGCACACTACTCTCACCCTTGATGAGACTCCACAGCCTGTATTCCGCAGAGCGCAATGCCGTGCTGGAGTCTGCCTGTATAACTCGTTGGAGAACAACTTCTCTTGCGATATACGAGATGAGTTTCGTGTCGAGCTGAGATGGTACGGGCTGTCCTCTGCTGAGTACTATCACGTTCGCTGTATGGAGTGCATGATTCCCTTATAGACATTGGCTCGTCTTCAATTCAAGTTGGACGGGCGCAATACGTGAGTCTCATGATTGGTAAATAGATGGAACACCGCGGTTGCATTGATGTCGATCTGATCGTGTCATACATCGAGAGGGATGCTGCTTTCGTTGATTGGCAGGCGGATGTTCTTGACGAGTTCTCCAACATAGAGCTGCGCCATCAAGTCTCCTACACATTGGGGCGACCCCTCTGCGGATGTGCTAAGATGCCGCGTGGCCCCAAGGTCCCAGTTCTGAGGAACTACGTCACGGACAAGAGCTGCATATTGTGGAGTTTGATGTGCCACCAATATGCTCTGAAAGGCCGCTTCTTCGAAGATCCATATCCACCCTGAGGTTTGATCCGGTGAATGAGCTGGAGTCTGAGGCGGACTCGAAATTGGACAAACCGGCGTAACCTATTGTGTGGAAGGTCGTTCAAGATACATGGTCCTGTGGAGTTGTCTGTACGCCCTCCAGGAAGCACAGGAGACAATACACAGCGCATTTACCACAATGGATAGCTTGAGTTGTTGCGGCGAGCGTAATCGCCATTGCTGACGTGTCAGTGAATGTTATTGCTTCACGTTCACGACTCCAAAGCAGTCGCGAATGCCTCAGCCGACATATCCGGCCTCGAGACATTGGGGAAGTGTTTGAAGACGACGGTAGATGACGACGAAGCACTCGCCAAAGCACCGCAAGGCGCATCGCTATCTACATCGCAGGATTTTGAGGAACAGCTCGTGGATTGTCAGTCTACGCTTCAGCAGCTGCACAGTCACTGGCGAAAGAAACAAAATGAAGTGTATCTGAGCACACACTCTGCAAGAATACAGGTTTAGTGTAGAGAAGTTTTTTCGAATCTTATCTAAAAGAAAACCACTCCTTGCGGGAGCAGAGCAACTGGCTAAATCTTGAGTGCTGGTCATGATAGTTGCCACCGGTTTTCTTTGTCCCGGCGCACGCGACGCTACATTTAGTAGATCTTGCGGGCGGTCCATTGCTTCTAATCCGCATTGTCTATTGTCATGGGGTAAGGCAGCCGGCGAATGAGCGGCGGATCATGTTTCATCATTGCCTCCGTGCGTTTATGGTCGAATGCAAGCATGACCAATTCTCTCACATCGTTGGTTGTCCAGGGCAGCTTGAGTAGTGGGCTCTAGTATACTGTTAGCAGACGATCGCGTATTTTTATCATCGAACATACATCTGAGAGCTGTGCCATGCTTGTTTTTGGCTTAGCAATAGTCTGCCAGAACTCTATTGCAGCAGAGTCCTTTCGCCACTTCGTCACATCAGCTTCAACCGGCTCGGAGTAGAGCCACGGATACATGAGGTGATTTGTGAGTGGCAGCAGCTGTAACGGCGTCGTCTCTCCCTTATCGCACCAAAACAAGCCACCTGTAATATGTAAGAAACGGGTCTTAATATCGTTCACATTGCACGCTAGCTCACCGATTTTGACGTTGCCGTCCAAGTCAGTCATTACCTGTGACTCGTCGAAATTTGAATGCCTGAGTCCCTCACTCTCGAGAAATAACAAGCCGTGAGATACCTGCTTTTGTTAGACGCGTTTCGAGAGCGGCAGCAGATGAGTCGCAGCTTGCCTGGCCAAGAATTGCTGCAAGGTCTACCTCGGTAAACAGCGGGAACACTTTAACACTGATGTCCACAACTTCAGCGAGCGGATATGCAAAAAGTGATTCAATTACATTGAAATCTTTCTTTTGAAAAGTTTCTAGCGCCAATTCGAAGCTTTCATGGCGAAAAGCCCGCAAAAAGGCAATTTTATGATCGATCTCTAGCTGTGTGAGCGATCCTGTTGGGTAAGAACGCCGAGTTGTGATGTCAATGCGAGAAACCCTTTCCGCAACAGAGTCGCTGGCGATGCTGGTAGTAAAAGATTGATCATTCATATTGTGCATGTAAACGAGAGATGAAGACGGCTTGATTCGGCCTGACCGGAGTCATAGACTTTCCGTATTTCAGGGCCGCTTCATATATAGCTTTTCTACGCGAGAGCTTTGTTTCGACGCCCCCCCGGTTTGGCGTAGGTGTGATTGAGACTCCCCCGCGCAGCGCTCAAAGGCTGCGTCCGGCGTAAAGACCATCGTCCTACGGATTAGCTGCGCACCAGGTACGAACTTCTGCCGGTATAGAACTATACCGGTACTGTAACGCTGTATACAGTACCGACTGAATAGAGCTTCTGGAAGGTCACTGTAGCGAAGCCGAATTGGTCCGCAGTATCAGTGGGCAGCTTTTGGCTCCAGTATTCGCTTTTAGCTCAGAAAATTGGTCTTGGCTCAAGCATTGCTTTTGGCTCATCATTCGATTTTGACAGCATTCGATTTTGGCTCTGCGTCCGCTGTCGACTCTGCACTCGCTTTTGACCCTAGTCGAGCAAGCGGTAGTGCACAAAACCACCGTCGCCTTTGCCGTTGCCCATTGACTCGTGCGCTAAGAACAGCTCGCGCAGAGCCTAGCATACACCGTATGGCGGAGGTGCGCTGCTTCCTGATCTCCATGCGCCGAAGCTTGTTGAGTGCGAAAGAGTCATAGCTGAGTACAGAGAAGGGCGAAACGACTGTCATACTTTGGTTAAACAAGAGTAATAGCGGCAGCTTATTTTAGTGAGTGGAGCAGCGCCTCTAGGTACCCGTCAGGTACCCGAAACTTTTTGGTGGGGAAAGAAACAGTTGAAGTCGGCCGTTATTTTTAACACATGTGCACTAATTACTGTATTGCAGGAAAAGGCGAAACTAATGTCCCTTTTTTGTCAAATAAACATAATAGTTGGCAGCCATTGTAGGCTGCAGCGCAGCGCCTCTAAGTACCCACTTGGTATCTAAGATTTTCAGCAGTTGAAAT